CCTAAATCCACCCCAAATTCATCCCAATTTCACCCCAAATCATCCCAAATCCACCCAAATTTCACCCCAAATCCACCCCAAATCCATCCCGAATCCACCCCAAATCCACCCCAATTTCACCCCAAATTCACCCAAATTTCTCCCCAAATTCACCCCAATTTCACCCCAAATCTCTCCCCAAATCCACCCCAAATTCACCCCAATTTCACCCCAAATCCACCACAAATCCATCCCAAACCCATCCCAAATTCACCCAAAATTCATCCCAAATTCACCCCAACTTCATCCCAAATCCACCCCAAATCCATCCTAAATCCACCACAAATCCACCCCAATTTCACCCCAAATCCATCCCAAATCCACCCAAATTTCACCCCAAATACACCCCAATTTCACCCCAAATTCACCCAAATTTCTCCCCAAATTCACCCCAATTTCACCCCAAATCCATCCCAAATCCACCCCAAATCCATCCCAAATAAATGGAAACCCCAAATCCCTGGCACCCCCCAAATCCCAACCCCGACACACCTGGGGGAATTTTTTTGGGAATTTTTTTGGGAATTTCCCAGGAATTTTTTAGATTTTTTTCGGGATGTTTTTATTTTAAAGAAGTTCCCAGATAGTTTTTATGATTTTTTTTTTGGGTATTTTTATTTTTAGAATATTTTTTTGGGATTGCTTCATTTCGGGGATGCTCCCAGGAAATTTTTAGGATATTTTTCAAGAGTGTTTTTAATTTTAGGGTTTATTTTGAGGGAGGAATCTTTATTTTTAGAATATTTTTTAGAGCGTTGTTTCATTTCAGGGAAGTTCCCAGGAATTCTTTAGGATATTTTTTTGGGCTATTGATATTTTTTGGGGTATTGATATTTTTTGAGGGTATTTCTATTTTTAAGGGTTTTTTTTTAGGGCGTTTTTACTTTTAGGGTATTTTTTGGGGGTATTTTTATTTTTAGGGTATTTTTTGGGGGGTATTTTTATTTTCAGGAGGTTTTTCTGAAAGTATTTTTATTTTTAGGCTATTTTGGGGGGATATTTTTATTTTTAAGCTATTTTTTTGGGATTGTTCCATTTCAGGGAATTTCCCAGGAATGTTTTAGGATATTTTTTGGGGGTATTTTCATTTTTAGGGTATTTTTTGGGGGATTGTTTAATTTCGGGGAAGCTCCCAAAAATGTTTAGGATATTTTTTGGGGTGTTTTTATTTTTAGGCTATTTTTTTTGGAGTATTTTTATTTTAAGGGCATTTTCTGGGGGGGTATTTTTATTTTTGGGGCATTTTTGGGGAGTATTTTTATTTTTAGGCTATTTTCTGGGGGATATTTTTATTTTTAAGCTATTTTTGGAGTATTTTTATTTTTAGGGCATTTTTTGGGGTGTTTTTATTTTTAGACTGTTTTTTGGGGGTATTTTTATTTTTAAGCTATTTTTTGGGAGTATTTTTATATTTAGGGCATTTTTTGAGGAGTATTTTTATTTTTTAGGGGGTTATTTTCGTATTTAGGCTATATTTTTTGAGGGCATTTTTACTTTTAAGCAATTTTTTGGGAGTATATTTATTTTTAGGATTTTTTTTTAGTATTTTTAATTTTACAGCATTTTCGGGGGGGTATTTTTATTTTTAGGCTATTTTTTGGGGAGTATTTTTACTTTTAAGCTATTTTTTGGAGTACTTTTATTTTTAGGATATTTTTTTGAGTATTTTCATATTTAGGGCATTTTTGGGGGGTATTTTCACTTTTAGGCTATTTTTTGGAGGTATTTTCATTTTTAGGCTATTTTGGGGGGGTTATTTTTCTTTTTAGGCTATTTTTGGGGATTATTTTTATTTTTAGGCAATTTTTGAGGAGTATTTTTATTTTTAGGAGGGTTCTTTTCACTTTCAGGCTATTTTTTGGCGTGGTATTTTCACTTTTAGGCTATTTTTTGGGGTGATATTTTCATTTTTAGGCTATGTTTTGGGGGGTATTTTTAGGGGGGTTATTTTCACTTTCAGCCTATTTTTTGGGGTAGTATTTTCACTTTTAGGCTATTTTTTGGGGTGGTATTTTCACTTTTAGGCTGTTTTTTGGGTGGTATTTTCACTTTTAGGCTATTTTTTGGGTGGCATTTTCATTTTTAGGCTATTTTTTGGGGGGTATTTTTATTTTTAGGAGGGTTCTTTTCACTTCCAGGCTATTTTTTGGGGTGATATTTTCATTTTTAGGCTATTTTTTCGCGGGTATTTTTATTTTTAACCTGGTTTTTTGGGATCGTTTCGTTTCGGGGGAGCTCCCATACAGTTTTTAGGCCATTTTTTTGGGGGTGTTTGTGTTTTTTGGGGGTCTCACCCTTGTTGGCCACCTCCCAGGCCACCTCGAAGAGCACCACGTTGTCGGGGGCGCCGGGACCCCCCCAGTCCTCCAGGCCCGGCAGGGAACTGACGGAGACGCTGCGGGCCAGCGGCATCTGGGCACCCCGAAACCGGCCTGGGGGGCACACGGGGGGCACGGGACCCCCAAAATCGGGATCGGCACCCCCGGAATGGGGAAGGGGACCCCCAAAAACGGGAATGGGACCCCCGGAATCGGGATCGGCACACCTGGAAACGGGAATGGGACCCCTGGAATGGAGAACGGGATCCCCGGAATGGGGATCGGGACCCCCGGAATGGGGAATGGCACCCCGAAACCGGCCTGGGGGGCACACGGGGGGCACGGCACCCCCAGA